TGAGGAATATAGGTGGTGGTGATGGTGGTGATGTACACTGGAGTCAGTTCCAAACTGCTGACCTTGAGGTTAGCAGCTAGACCAAGAACCACTATGCAATGAGAAGGGTGACACAATGCCACAGAATGACGCATGTACAAACCGTGAATAGATGCATGTTTCCTTGTTTATGTTGTTGTTGAGTGCTGTCGGGTGGGTTTCGGTTCACAGCCACCCTGTATAGAGTTCCCAAGAAGCTGCTGGTAGGTTTGAACCACCAGACTTGCAGTTCAAACCCGCCTTGTGGTCTAGTGCTTATCCTACAGTGCCACACCAGGACTCCAGGTTATTTAAATATAGTGCCACCACCGTGTGGCACTGAGGGTTAATGCGTTGGACTACAAAACTGGAGGTTCAAGTTCACCAGCTGCTCCTCGGAAACCCTATGCAGGGTGTCTATGGGTCGGAACTTACTCCACAGTACTTAACAACAACAACAAACATTGGGGTCCAGATGTGGCGCTGTAGGATAAACATTGGACTGCTAATCACAAGGTCAGCAGTTCAAGTCCATCAACTGCTCTTTGGAAACCCTATACAGAATTGCTGAGTCGGAACCAACTCAACAGCACTTAACAACTAAGATAAACATTCAACAATAGTTAAACGTGAGTTAAGTGACTAGATGGTCAACCCTAGTTCTTCTTCAACCTGTGCTTCCTGGGTCGCATGTGCCTTCAAGGGACCCTCCTAATGCATTTTATCATTAGGCCCTCCCTCTGGCCATGCGGGCACTCTCAGTGGTCTGCCACTTCCCCCCACCCCCCAGCACTCCCTGCCACCACCAATCCTAGCAGCCTACAGTCCAACCACTCTGAAGAGCAGCCTAAGAGAAGGGGAGAACTTCCTGAGTGACAGGCGGCTTCCTGCAATGTTTCCACTAACACTGTCCTGGTTGCATGCTCCAGGAAAGGGCCTCTCAGCGCAGCGTTCCCACCTGGCTGACATTGACATTTAATGTCTACAGACTGGCCAAGAAGGACCTGACCCCTTCATAGACTGGTGTGGTCCTAAGAGAGTACCATGGCATTGCACAAGTACATTTTGTGATTGTTGTTGTTGTTGTTATGTGCCGTCGAGTCGGTTCCGACCCATAGCGACCCTGTTGTGATAGTCAATAAAATCTTGAGACTCCCATAAATCCAAAGGACTTGGTGGTTCTTACTGGGGATCTCTACCATTGAATTAAAAAAGTTGCCGCTGTTCAAACGCATCTTAAAAGAAACAGAAAGAATAAGGACGCTAAGTTCCAACTGATTCTGACTGTTGGCTCGATACTATAAAACGAAGAGAGTCCTCTCCACCAACTGGAAATAACAATTCATCCACAGCATCTGCTTTGGTTGTATAAATTTATCTATGGACTTGAGCAATAAAACCATTGTTTAATACCAAAAATAAATTTAAAATAGGAGGGGAGATGTGGCAGAGATAGAAAACATTGAAATGTGACCAAGACCAGCTTCCCTGAGCAAGTAGCCCTCCCTGCATGTTCTGCTTTGGTTGTGATAACCTTGTGGCAACCTTGAGGGGCTAAAACACTAAAGCTGGGGCCCAGGGTGATCTAATCTTCATTCTACAGATGAGAAAATCGGAGGGCTCAAGGAACTATTAGTCCCCAAGCTAGTGAGAAGTAGAATTTCAACCTACAGCTGCCTAACCACTAAGTTCTGTTCTTTGTAATCAGAAAGGAGTTGGATCTCTGGTCTCCACCTCCCCTGAGGTACCTGGGTCCCCCTCTCACCACCCCAGCCTCTGCCCATCAGCATCCTCTTTTCAAGGAGATACCGGATGGAGCCCCACCCTGAGCTCAAGGATGAGGTCAGAGCATTACCGGGCTGGTGCAGATGCTAAATTATTTATGGCTTGTGCTGCTGTGAGCAGGGCCTGCTACCTCCTCACAGTGGAGACAGAAAACAGGAAGCCAAGTCTGGACACCTACATCTGGACTTGACTTTGGAGAAAGTGCCAGTCACAGGGAGAACTAGCTGAATGGAGTTGGGCATTTCAGGCTCCGTTAAATGAGCTATGCCAAGGACTAACTTACAAGGACAGAGAGCCTCGTGTCATCTGGAATGGGTCATGACTGGTCTCAGTATCTCTTTCCTCTCCTCCTGTCCCTATTCCTCCTGCAGCATCACTGAGCCTTGTCATGTGTAGTGCTCGTCTCTGGACTTGGTTGGTTGAGAGTAAAACATTGTTTGAAAGCCCAATACTCTCTGAGTAAATAAATCTTCAATCAACAAAAAAAGGTTAGTGGGACTCAAACAGCCTTTGTTGGTTTAGAAGGCAAAAGGTCTCGGTTAAGCATAGTATACAAGCATCAGAGTTGGTTCTGACTCATATTGATCTATACAGGGTTTCTGAGGGTGTCATTTTTGTGGGACCCAAATACCTCATCTTGGGCTCAAACCACCCGACCTTATGGCTTAGTCCAGTACTTGTCCTACAGAGCCACTGTGCTCACTGCAGCTCCCACTCCTCAGAATGGTCTGCGTTGTTGTTAAGTGCTATCAGGTCCGTTCAGACTCATAATGACTCTATATAGTATGAGTTTGAACCAACTCCATGGCACTTAACAATACTAGGGTTTCCAAGGAGTGGCTGGTGGGTCTGAACCAACACTATGGTTAGCAGTCCAGTGCTTATCCTACAGCACCACATCAGGAATCCAAACCAACTCTGATGGGATTCAAACCCACAACCTTTGAATTACTCTTTTCATCACTAGAAATCCAATGAACTATCCATTGCACCAGGGTCACCCTGACAGAATATTTTGTTAGGTGTTGTAGAATAGGATCCAACTCATACCGACCCTACACAGGGTTTCCGAGGAGGAAATGATGGGATTGAACCATCACCTTACAGTTCAAATTGACCTTGCAGTCCAGCGCTTATCTTACAGCACCATACCAGGACTAAGAAGATACATTATTAATAAATTCCAGGAAAAATTCTTAATGGGCACAAAGGGACTTAGTGGTAGGAACTTCTCCTCTGCAGAAGGTGAAAAGATTTCAGTCTTAAACGTCCAAACTACTCTGCTGTGAGCTCCAGGGCTTGGTGGTCATGGCTGTGAAACTGACCAAGTGTGTTCCTGGCCATGACTCATAGTCCCTTCCTTTCTTCTTCCATTCAGGTCTCCATTTTGGTGCAGCTGGACCACCTCCCCTGCTTCCCTCCTCAAGACACTTAAATCTTCTCTGCTTTGACTGGGCTCCAAGTAAGTAGGACCCCTGGGTATTTCTGGCTCTGGGCCAGGTCTGTACCCCTCCCCGAGCCCAACCCACATACCTCCAAGTCCTCACATGAGATTATTGTTGTCTTTAAGTATTGCCGAATTCATTCTGACTCATAGCAACCATGTATCAGGTTTCCAAGGAGCGGCTGGTGAGCTTGAACTGCTGACCTCACAGTTCAAACTAACCTTGCATTCCAGTGCATTAATCCACAGTGCCACACTAGGACTCCTATGGGAGATTACTACCTAGAAATGTAAGCTAGTATCTTTATTCCCCAGAAGTGAACTTGGGGAGAAGTGCACAGAGCTCTCCCTCTCCCTGTGGCTGAGGAGAAATAATCCTCTATCCATGAAAGGAGCAAGCCAGGATACAGAGAGGCAAATGGGAGAAGGGGTCACACTTAGGGGTACCGTTCTATTCTCTGTGGACCTGTTCACCCAATTTAGCTCTGGAACAAAGCGCCACTGACAAAGGTACAGGGTGCTGGGGACAAGCGGGGGGCCTTGGAGAGCTACCCGGTGCATCCATACCCCAACTCAACACCCCAGAAAGTTGTTGTCCCTCTTAGAACCCAGACTGAACTCTAGGTCCACATTCAGACAAGTCAGTTCTGTCTGGGACAAAGAGTTGGACAAAGTCAGGGACAGAGAGTGTTATGGGGGCCTTCCTCCCCAGGAGTCTGGAGCTGCCCACCCTCTCCTAACCCCAGGATGCTACTGTCTTCCCTGGATGGCTGAGAATGTCCTATCCTCCCCAGGAGTCTGAAGCTGCCCACCCTCTCCTAACCCCAGGATGCTACTGTCTTCCCTGGATGGCTGAGCATGTCCTATCCTCCCCAGGAGTCTGAAGCTGCCCACCCTCTCCTAACCCCAGGATGCTACTGTCTTCCCTGGATGGCTGAGCATGTCCTATAGTCAAGTACACGAGGGACTGCTCAGGGGAGAACAGGGCCAGCTCCTCGAAGTTCCTCATAACCATCTACTGCCCAAGGCAAGGTGGAAACTTCCATCTGCCTATCAGGAGATGCACAGTCTTGAGTGAGGGGGTCCACTTTCCCAAGTTCCACAGCCTCAGTCCTGGGAGAGACCACACCCCACACTATCTGGGGTCCAGGCCTCTCCCACTGGCCCCTGAGACTCCAGCCCCAACTCTCCGTGGGCTTGTTGGATAGGGAGGTCACTCCCATCATGCCAGGGGTCCAGGTAGCCACAGCAGGCCCCTGCTGCACTCGACAGAATCTGCCAGATCCAGGCGTTTCAAGGGCATTTATTTAAATCCATCCCTGCCCCAGGAACCACCTTCCAAACTGGTAGAGAAACCAAAGGCAAAGGAGAGAAACGGGCACAGGAAAAATGTACCCCAAATGCCACTGTGGCCTGCAAACTCCCCAGACTCCTTTGTGGGGTTTTCTGTGAGGTAGTGCAAGCATAGAGCTTCTCTGGTTGGGATCAGTGTGGTAGTCTCTGTCCCCAGATGGGGAGGGGCAGTCAGGAGAAAAACAGGTGGGGTCAGCCTGGCTAGTAGGTGGAGTCCAAGTGAAGGCACAAGGCATGGTGCAAAGGGGCACATGGCTGATACACCAAAAGGGCTCCGATCCAGGACCCACAGGCCACAGACAAGTAATGTGTCCAGTCTGGAGCTTCCAGTCCCTGGTGTGAAGGTTCAGGGCCAACTCTCCACCATAGCTGGGCTCCAAAGAGTCATGGAGAATATCACCGGGGCAGAAATCATCAACGTAGGACCCAGACGATGGCAGGGCCAGGAAGGTCGTCCATTGTGACAGAAAGGGCATCTGAAGCATGTTGTTCACAGTAGAGAGGGCGGTCATTTGGAGCACCCACATGGGGACACTCCTGTCATCAAGGAGAAGCAGCAGGGGTGGGCTGTGATTGGGTGCCATGTGGGGACAGGGAGGTACACTTGGGAGTCCACAGACAGCTCCTGCAGCCTCAGTCACTTGGGGGCCAGAGTCAGGGCTGGACCCTTCCCAGGCCCCCCCCCACCCTGTCCACTGCTTCAGACTGGTGGCCTCGATCCCTCCCAGCTTGTGGGCCCTGGCCAGCCTGGGCCCATTGGGAAGAGGACGGCAGGCGGCGTGCAGTCCGGGGAAGAGGACGGCTACCATCTTGTTATGTTTTGCGGGGATTGATCCTAAAGTAACCAAAAAGAACAAGTATCAAAGGGGGGGCCCTCTGCTCCGGACCCAATCACTGGCTTCTAACTAAAACAGTCTCCATCCCTGGAGGGGCCAGTGGAATCCGAACACACAAGAGGTTTGGAGGGAGTCTTCTTTTGCTTCTGGCAATCTCTTCCCTTCCAATGGGAACATTTTTTCCCCCTACAAACAGTGTCAAAAATAGCTTCTGACAAGTTGGGGAGAAACATTCCCAAGCCCAAGAGAGGCCACCCCCTGCCCCCCTTGCAAAACCCAGTACCAGTGTCCAGGCTGAGGGCACTGCTGGCCTAGGTGGACACAGCTCATGGGTCAATGCGGCTCCAGCCCAGGTCACTGGTCACTCCAGAAGGAACCAAGAGAAAGGCCACTGGACTTGGGAAGCCTGAGAAAACCTGACCAGACTGGGTTTGGCCATGTCTCGAGGCGGTATGGCTGCTCTGGGCCAGATTCCTTACCTGTAGACACGTAGGGGATGATTCTGTGATTTTGACTCTGGAAAGGGGAGGGAATTCTGGTTCTGCCGACCTCAGGAAGCAGCCAGGAAGACTGACGTGAGCAGCCGTGGAAAAGCTTTGCTCACAAACCAAAACGAAACCCAATTCTAACTCACAACGGCCCTATCGGACCAAACAGAGCTGACCGAGAGCGTTTCCAAGGCTGTCTGTCGTCTTACAGAAGTAGACTGCCACCTCTTTGTCCCGTGGGATGGCTAGGAAATCCAAACTGTTGACCTTGTAGCTAGTGACTGAGCACTTTAACCACTGAATCACCAGAACGCCTTGCTTTGTTCAAACAAAAAGTTGCCAACAAGTTGACTTGAACTCATAACGCACCCATGCGTGTCAGAATAGAACTGCGCTCCATCGGGTTCTCAAGGGTTGATTTCTCAGAATTCGATCACCAGGCCTTTCTTCCAAGGTGCTTCTGGGTGCCCTTGAACCTCCAAGCTTTGGGTGAGCAATCAAGCTCCTTAACCACCTACTGTACCCAGGGACGCCTGGTTGGAGTCATGTGACCACTGCTGCCCAGGCGATTCCAATTCATAGCAACCTGCTAGGACAGACTACACCTGCCCTGTAGGATTTCCTGGTCTAGAACTCGTTACAGAAGCAGAACGCCACATCTCTCTCCTGCACAGTGGTTGGTGGGTTCCAACTGCCCATCTTTTGGTTAACAGCTGAGCGCTCAACCACTGCGCTACCAGGGCTTTCTGTTTACAGTAAAGTACTAAGTAAACAGACCTGTTTTCATTACTGCCCAAGAATGAAACCAATCAAATCAGGGCCTGGCTGGTTCCGATCCCACCTTTTTCAGCGAAGCCTGGTTTCTAAGCTTCTCCCCTCTGGAGATCACACACCACGACTGGGTGGCACAAAGCTAGCCGAGCTGAACCATCCTTCTGCAAAAGAGGAGCTGAAATCTGCCAACACCCCCTTCCTCACCTGCTCCTCCTGAGGCCACCTTCTCTGAGCCATCCCCACACAGTCCAAGAAGGGAGGGGTGTTCAAGGATGCTGGGTAGGGGACCACATATGAGAAGGCTTCAAAAGTTCAAGGCAAAATTCCATTATCTTTTCATTCCATCTCTCCACCAACTTTTTCAAGCCCACTCATGCACTAATTGAGCTCAGACATGGAGGTCAAGCTAAAGATTTCTCTGGATAGAAAGGCCAGTGATTTGATTGCACACAGGCGAAACCAACAGCAGACATCGAGGGGAACTGGATTTGGAGGGCGGAGGAAATGCGGAGGGGTAGAAGACAGGGTATGGGAACCAAGAGCCCAGGCCAGAAACAACATTCCCAGAGAAGGGTTAATCAAACAGAAATGTGTTTATTAGGCACTCTTGTTCCTCACAGAGGAGCAAGACTCAGGACAGAAGCGCCCGTGAACTCTCTCGAGATCGCAGAATCAATCCCGAGAGTCCAGAGATGTGTAGGTGTGGCTGGCCGCCACCCCAGGAAGAACACTATTTGGCTGGAGTGTGGAAGTCAAGGCAACCCTGGAGAGAAACCAGGCCCCTCGGCTCCACCAACACTGACTGAGGACGGTGGGAGGCACCCAGGACACCCACCTACACATTCAGAGCCAGAAGGGGGCTGGGGAGAGCAGTAGAGGACGGGGGTAGAGGACTGGGTTCCCGGGCTGGCTGCTGAGAACACCCACCCCCCAACACCTGCCCGCCTCCTCTTGGCTGCTGACTTAGTCCCACACCACATAGGGGTTTCTAAACACCTGAGAGTTCTTGCCGTCTTTGGGCGGGGTGGCCGCCTGGTGGTTTTGGGTGGCGTACATGTCTTCGGCTCTCAGAGTGGAGTTGGCACTGCCCATCACCTGACTGTTGGCGGTGGCCCTCGGGAGGATGACGTCATAAGCACCGTCAGACTGGAAGGAAGAACAGGCGGCCTCACAGTCAGGGGGGATGGGAGAGCCAGGTTCTGCCTGGGCGGATGCACAAACACACTACTTCCTGCGGGGCTGGGCCTGCCAGCTCCCCACCACCCCCTCCCAGGTCAGCCCCAACTGGCGGGTTGGTGTTCTCCAGCTAACACCTCTCACTGCCTCAGAGCTCTCTGGGTCATAGCCTGAGGCCCTTACACCCTCCAGTGGTCCTGGGCTTCCCAAGGGGGTCTCCTTTGTTGTTGTTGTTGTTGTTAAGTGCCATCGAGTCGATTCCGACCCATAGCGACCCTGTATAGGGTTTCCAAGGAGCAGCTGGTGAGCTTGAACCGCCGACCTTGCAGTTCAAACGGCTTTGCAGTCTGGTGCATTAACCCACAGCGCCACACCAGGACTCCTTGGTGTTGCTGGGTATTGTCTGTTTGATTCCAACTCATAGTGGCCCCATGTGGCTGAGGCTTTAATGGCTACAAGTAGGTATGGGCTGCCAATCACAAGGTGGACAGAAAGATGAAAGTCTCTGAAACACTGTGAAGGATTGCTATGTGCGGGAATGGATGGCAGTGGGTTTGGGGGTCTGGGGGATCTCTATAGGGGCAGATCGCCAGGTCCTTCTCACAAGAGCCACTGGGTGTGTTTGAACCACCAACCCTTCTGTGAGCAGCCGAACGCTTCACCGTTGTACCACCAGGGCTTCCGGAGTTTCTATTACTTGTCTGGTAATCTCCCAGGTTCCTTTGCTACATGGACCTTCCCGAGACCTCTGAATGCTACCATAACACTCCACAGCATCCACCTCTGTCTTCCCTGGCTAGGGAACCCCTTCTGCTAGACTCTGGGTGGACCCAAAGTTTGTCTTTTATAGTTTTGAGACCTAAACCTAAGTTTTCCACCTGGAATCTGAGTAAGAATATGGGTTATAGGGTGAAGAAGGTCCTAAAGTCCATGTTCCAGTCCCCACCGTGGAGGAAAGGTATGTTCCTGCCCCTCTCCCTTGCTTTTCAAACCAAACTCACTGCCATGGAGTCGGTTCTGACTCACAGCGACCCCGCATAGGGTTTCTGAGGCTGTAGAAAGCCCCATCTTTCTCCTGAGGAACGGCTAGCTGGTGGATCTGAATTTCTGACCTTGTCGTTTGCAGTCTAGTGCTTATCCTACAGTGCCATCAGGGTTCTTTTCCCCTCGGGAAAGCACCACCACACCAACCTTGGGTCTAAACAGCTCCACAGTTCTCACCCCCTTGTAGCTTCCAGCATGGCACGTCTAGACATCGGATTTAGCTGGAAGGCTCCTGAAACTACCCATTCTGGTCCCCACCTAGGATTATTGTTGTCAAGTGCCATCAAGTCACTTCAGACTAGATGTATAGGGTTTTCGAGAAGCAGCTGGTAGGTTTGAACTGTCGCCCTTATGGTTTGCAATTCAGTGCTGATCCTACAGTGCCACATCAGAAGTCCCACCCAGTATGGTGGGCTGGTAAATGGAGGATGGGTATGACACCACATTTATAGTGTCTGCAGATGCCTATCACGTGGTCCCAAGCTACCAGGTGATGATCCTGAAGCAGTAAGAACCTCTGCTGAGAATCTATCTTTCTACCTCAGTTTTATTGTTGCCATTAAGCGCTGAAGAATAGGTTCTAACTCCTAGGACCCTGTAGAGGGTTTCAGAGGAACATGAGTTTGAACTGCAAGGTTGGCGTTTCAAACAGACTTCATGGTAGGGTGTTTACCCTACAGCGCCACATCAGAACTCCTTAGTATACCTCTGGTATACTGAATCAGAACCCACATTTTAACAAGATCCCCAGGTGATTATGTGCCTATATAAGACTACACTTGTACACGTTAAGATTCACCTAAGAAACCTGGTAAAATGTGGATTCTGGTTCAGTATGTCCTGTATAGAAATGCAAACTCCCAGCAGGGTGTGGAACTGGAAGGAACCCAGTTCAAAGCCCTGCCCTGAAGAGATGCATCCCACCAATCCCACCCCCCGAGTTTCTGATTCAGCAAGTCTAGGAGCGCTGTAGGATCAGCACTGGACTGCTGCACATCACAAGATCGGCAGTTCAAACCCACCAGCTGCTCCTTGAAAACCCTATACAGGATTGCTATGAGTCAGAGCTGAACAATAAGATCAACCACAATGACACAATAGCAACAGGGCAGGGAGGGGAGTCCTGGAGTGGTGCTGCAGGGTAATGCACTGGACCACAACGTCAGTTTGAACTGCAAGGTCAGGGACCCTGTTGTTGTTAAGTGCCATTCAAGTCAGTGCTGACACATAGAGATCCTGTACAGGGATTCTGAGGCTTTTAAATCTCCATGGAAACCGCATCTTTTTCCTGGGAGCAGCTTGCAGACTCGAACTGTGGACCTTGAGGTTTGCAGTCCTGTGCTTATAGTATGGGGACACTGGACTTGAAAAATAGCGCTGCTAATTCAGACCATCTCTCCAGAGCTCAGAGTCCTGGTGTAGCTCTGTAGGATAAGCACTGGACTGCTAATCTCAGGTCAGCAGATCAAACCCACGAGCTTCTCATTAGAAACCCTATACATGGTCGCTATGAGTCGGAACCAACTCGAAGGCACTTAATAACAACGCTAGAACTCAGGCACAGGAAGGAGCTGGAGGCTGGAATTTCAGACACACTTGTTCATCCAGCTCCCGGGACTCATGGAGGGGGGAGGGGGTGAGAAGGCCACCCTGCTGACCTCCCTTCTTCCTGTTCCCAGCGTCCTACCAAGGCAGGTCACTGACCCCTTCCCAAGCCAGTGCCAGTCCAGGGGCAGGAACAAATATGGAATGAATCTAGCCTACCACCTTCCTGTTCCCACCCCACTCCCTGGGTTAAGGAACATCTGGTCTCCCAAACCCAGGGGAGGTGAAAGGTCAAGGGCAGCCATCTGCCTGCGTGGGAGGGGCCAGAGGTCCTGGTGGGACAGCTGTGTTTGAGGATTAACTGCCTCTGTAGACCTGCCACATTCGGTCTCCTGTCCCTTCTGGGGTCGTCAAGATCGGCACCTGGACAGATTCCCTGAGCCTTGTAGGGTAAGGCTGGCAGCTCCTACCAGCCCCCATTCTCAGCAGCACCTAGCCCAGTCCTCGTGGTCCCCACCACAGTGTAGTTACGGGAGGTGGACATATCAAATGAGAACTGAGCTTGGTCCCTGAGGTCAGCACACCAGATGGACGACCCTGTCTTCTCACCTCCTCCACCCCAAGCCTGCATGACACAAGCTCCCCACAACCGGACCTACTCACCGGGACTTTGTGCATCAGGGCCATCTCGGTGGGCTGGTACACACTGGTCAGCAGCTGCCCATTGTAGCCACTGTATGGAGACACCGGCCTCTTGGCTAGAAGGAAACACAGGAATGATTTGAAAACACCTCAGTACCATCTCCTCATCCCATAGCCCAAGCAAGTTACACCCAGGCTCAAGAACATGGGGTCAGGCTGGCCTAGTGTAAAAGCTAGCCCAGGGATGAAGCCACACCAGGGGTGGGCAGTTTGGGGATGAGGTTATGGAGGTGTGAGCTCCCTCCCCAAAACCCAGCACCCATTGCAATGCAAAGAGAGCAGACGGAGGGTGCAGCCCTGCCAGACCTCCCCTCAGTGCCTGAAGTCCAACCCCACAGCCCAGAAATGTTCCTTCAGCAACCTCCACATCCCCATCCGTCCTCCAGGGCCAGAGGCCAGGAGGGGATCATGGGCTTTCCAAGATGGCCAGCCTCTAGCTCTGGCCTCAACTGCCCTCTGATTGCCACGTGCTTTGTGGATAAATGCACGAGACCCCTCTAGCCTGCCCATCTTCCTGGGCAGTACTGGATGTGGAGTTCCCACACAGAACATCTCCAATGGCACAGCAAGCACGTGGGTCTGGGTGCCCCTTGGCAGTTTTCCAGCCACAGAACACTTCCCCGTGCCGGCAGGTGCTGGTTTCCGGTCTGTTCAGTCCTGCTGGGCACTGCTGGGCTGTTGGCAGAAAGCTTTGGACCAGCCCCCAGGGCCCAACAGTGAACAGGGAGGGCTGCGGATGTTTACCTCCTGCAGAGCTGCTGGTCCAGCAACTTGGAGGGGCCACAACCTTTACCGGGGGCTTCCTAAGTGCTAGGCGCACACTATTGATTTTTCCATTTAGAAAGAAGGAAAAAAAAAACAAACAAACTCAGGGTCCCAGAAGTGTTTGCCTTGGGAAACAAAGACTGGAAACTATTTGCTCTTGATAAACAGGCAGTGGGTGAGACAGGAGGGGGGTGGGGGCTCTTACCCATACTTAGCCATAAGCCCCTCTCCTGCTGGCTTCAATTGCTTCTTCCTGTCCCCACACATGCCATCTGCCCCACTCAGAGGCCCTCACCAGAGGAGGAGGGGGGGAGCACACAGCCCAGGTGGGTGAAGATCAAGGTCCTGGGAGGACAGGCTTCACCCCTTCCACTAGGGCAGGGGTTCTGGGGATTTCACAGTTTGTAGAGAAGAGGTCTGGAGTTCTGATTCTGACTTCCTGGCAGTTAAAGTTTTAAGCCCCTCAAAATCACGATCAGCACAGTCTGAGTCTGAGCTCAGAGCTTTGGCACCGTGCCACAGGCCTTGAGGGTTATAGCAGATGCAGGGCTGTAGCATCAGCTACAGGAACCAATGAGATGCCCATGAGCAGACACACGAGGGGCCTGGTACCGCACACACTAGGTGCTCAGCAAATGCTAGTGGTTGTTACAGTCAACAGATGGCATAGTCAGGAACCAGATGAAATGGCCACCCTCTCCTGCCCCAGAGAGAAGTCTGGGGCTGGCATCATTACTACTTTCCTGTCCCTTCAAGCTCCAGGGCATCCAAGACTCTATAGCCAGCTTGCCCCTAGTACTTGGCACCCCAGAATAGCCCTGAACCGTTCAGAAGAGCTGGGTGGGAAGCTTTGGGACCAGTCAGTTGGAAAGTAGGTGCTGCTGAAATCGATATGTGACAAGCTAAGTGTTGTGTTTTGTTTTTCCATTGTAAAGGCTTGTTTTTAAAGAAGACTATAAGGAGCCCTGGTGGCACTGTGGATTAAGCATTGGGCTGCTAGCCTCAAGGTTGGTGGTTCAAACCTGCTAGCTGCTCTGCAGGACAAGGGTGAAGCTGTCAGCTTCTGTGCAGATTTCCAATCTCGGAAACCCTGTAGAACAGTTCTCCTCTAAGCTATAAGGTTGCTAAGCAGCTCTGGTAGCGTAGTGGTTACGAATCGGGCTGCGAACCCCAAGGTCATCAGTTCGAAACTACCAGCTGCTCCATGGGAGAAAGATGAGGCTTTCTGTTCCTGTAAAGATTTATAGCCTTGGAAACCCTGTGCAGGGTCACTATGAGTTGGAATCGACTCCACGGCACATAATCACCACCACCATAACCTTGCTATGAGTTAGAATTGATGGAAGATGACTTGGGATAGGTACAGAATAGAAAAGCTAGCCCTGGAAGGATCCTAATCGTGAAATAATAGTAATATGAGCAGCTAGTCCAATTCTCCATGAGTTGGAGTTGGCTCAGCAGTAACGGATTACTTGTAGAATGCTCACTGTGTGTCAGTATATTTGTTGTTGTTAAGTGCCATTGAGTCGGTTCCAATTCATAGCAATCCTGTATAGGGTTTCCGAGGAGTGGCTGGTGAAGCTTGAACCACCACCCTTGCTGTTCAAACCAACAATGCAGTCCAGCTCATTAACCGGCAGCGCCACACCGGGACTAAAGCACAAAGATGAATTAATTCTCACCAGAACCCTATGAGATCGGTACCATCATTATCCCCACATTTCAGACACAGAAACAGAAATGCAGAGGAAAGATCCCATACAGATAACAGTGGTCCGTTGTAGGAATACAGTTAACAGTGGTCTGTTGTAGGAACAGAAGGACAGAGGACGAGATGAGATTGTGCTGCAACTTAATGTTTGAACTTCTACAATGAGAATATATCCATGTTGTACCTGAATCTACAAAACAATCTTTACAAATAGAATGTAGGGAACTGTACACCATCTGGAGAACCTTCCAGCTCCCTGGCTTATAGGGAATAAGCTGAGGTACAGGGAGTGGGGCTCGGGGAGGATTTCCCACAGCCTACCTGAGGTTGGCTCATCCATGGAAAACGCCTTGTTCTCCACAAACATGCTCTGGCTTTTCTGCTCTTTCAGGATGGTCTCGTAGCCTACGCCCCGGGTGGGGTACATGTCCCCTTGGTAGTTTTGCTCAGGACTGGCCTTGGTCAGCTGGGAGGTCTCAGGGATGATGTAGAAGAAGAGAAAGGCCCAGGCGTTGGCGGCAAGGGCAATGGCTAAGGTGGGGTCATCCCAGGAAGGGCTGTTGTGCTGTTTGTTACCGTAGGTGTACATGACTATCCAGACGACCCAGATGGCAATGGAGGTGACCGTGGTGAGCAACACAAAGACACCATGCTTCCGCCAGCGCTTGAAGCGTCCACACAGGGCGGGCCAGGCCCCCAGGAAGGCCCCCAGCAGCAGCAGCATGACGTAGATGAGCGCCATGACAAAGTCCATGTTGGCGATGGCGCAGGGTGAGGTCACCACCCAGCCAGCACTGCTGTTACCCAGAGGGCCATGCTCGCCTCCTCCCCGGACCAGGGTAATGATCAGCCACTCCGTATTGATGATTACCTCCACAAGGGTCAATAGCAGAGCCACAGTGAAGACCACCCAGCCCCGGGGCCCATGGTTCTTCCGGGCTAAGGAGTTGAGGGCAAAGACATGGGCCACCAGGCAGGAGAAGCAGATTGCAAACAGGACTCCGAAGAGGAAGCGCCGAGAGGCACAGGTAGCGAAGTCGGGCTTCACCACAAAGGCAAACACGAGGCAGAAGAGGCCCAGGGTCCCCAGCAGGAAGAACACCTGGGTCCCCAGAAGACTCCGCTTCTTAGTGTCCTGCACAAAGGGAAGGCTGGCCACAAGGATGATGGTGAGGACAAAAGTGGTGACGATACCGGCCCCAGCCACCGTCTCCAGGATGATGCCCCAGGCCTCAGAGCGGTCACACAAGTTGTAGTAGAGGGGGTCGAGGTCTGGGCCGCAGCCAGGTGGGGCATGATGCTGGGCCTGGACGTGTGAGAATAGGAAGAGAGGAAGTCCCAGGCACACCAGCAAGACATTGTGGATGGCCATCCTGGCTCCCGGGCCACGCTCCCAACTGGGTCCTTAGAGAAAGAAGGACAAGAGGCGAAATCAGTTCTCTGAGGCTAGACTCAGACATATATGGTGCCGCTTGACCCCCATCCTAAACCAGGGCAGGGAGTACCAGTGGATTGTGCACCTTTTCCTCTGAGTACCATATAACTGATGTGGAAAAGCTTGCTGGTTATCTCTATTTCTAGCCAATAGGAAAGGAGGAAACTCACTGAATTGTCCCTGTCCTCCCCTCCCCCAGTCCAGGAGCAAATATTCCCTGAGCTCTGGTCTTTGGGCTGGGGGTGGGGAGCTTTAAGTCCATCAAACCAAGCAAGCCACCCATTCAGCACTTCCTCCCTGCCTTGGGACTCTTTCAGGGTTCAAAAGGCCTTTAAACTCTGTCCTTTATTAATCTGTGTAACATTCATTCAACAAGGATTTAACTAGCACCAGTGGTAGGACTGAAAGAACCCTGGTGACACAAATTTCAAGCACTGAGCTGCTAACCGGACTCCTGGTGTGGCACTGTAGGATCAGCACTGAACTGTGAACCACAGGGTTGGCAGTTCAAACTCACCAGCCGCTTCTTGGAAACCTATGAGTTTCCAGGGTCGCTATGACTTGGAACCAACTTGGCGGCATTTAACAAGCTGTTAACTACCAGGCTAGTAGTTTGAGCCCACCATCTGCTCCTCAGGAGGAAGACGGGACTGTCTGATTCTGTAAAGATTTGCAACCCGGGAAACCCTATGTCCTTGTACGGTTGGTATGAGCTGGAATCGACTCCGTGGTAATTGGCTTGGTGTGATTTGGGTTGTAAAATGGTTGAACTGTCACTCGGAAAAACAAGGACATGATTGAAAAGTTCAGATTTATCCACCGTTCCTACCTGATCCCTCCTACCACTTCCCCCATCCGCCCCCTGGTTTATTTCCCCCCACCCCTCGTTTTCCTGCTTCCCTATTAACTACTCTTCAGATTCCAAAGTTCTTTGTCTAGTAAAGTAGCTGGAGTCAAGGATAAAATAAACTACTTCCCTTGCTAAGGAAGTTAATGACTTAATGCAAAAATTCTCCTAAGAGGCATTAGCATTTAAAAAGCAAGAGCCAAGCAAGGGCAATGTAAAATCCAAAGGACTTCATCTTTACTGGAAGACTCTTAGGCATTGTAGCTAAAAGGCACCAAAAGAAAAAAAGAGAGAGAGATCTGGTTTTCACACCAGGAAAGTAACTCTACTCATCTCCTCATTTGACCAGCCCCAACGGCTCTATCAAATGCAACAATCAGCATGGAAGAAAGTCAAACATCCTCACTTAACACCAATTGGCTTTTCCCTGTGGCAGCTTAAGGGAAAGTGAACTTTTCAACCAATAACACAGAAAATTATAAAGATGCCCTGGTGTGGCGCTGTGGGTTAATGCACTGGACTGCAAGGTTGGTTTGAACCAAAGTCGGTGGTTCAAGCTCACCAGCCGCTCCTTGGAAACCCTACACAGGGTTGCCATGGGTGGGAACTGACTCGACAGCACTTAACAACAACAAAAAGCAAGCTATAAATTCCAAATTGCTATGAAACGCAGGCCCTCCGTATTAAGATAACTCTGTATAAGGTTTCCGAGGAGCAACTGGTGGGTTTGAACCGCTGACCTTGTGTTTCACAGTCCAGTGCTTATCTATCATCGTCAAACCCTGTAAGCGCCAGTACACAACCCTGAATAGTCACCCAAGAAACGCCCAGAAAGACGGCAACCAAGCTTTCCCAGGATGATAGTGACCACTAGTGGCTGTCAGGGGAATAGCAATGTCTATTCCAGAACACTTAATTGTAAATCTGTACCTAGACCAAGAAGCAGTTGTTCGAACAGAACATGGGAACACTGAATGTTTTAAAATTGGGAAAGGTGTGAGACAGGGTTGTATTCTTTCACCATACTTATTCAACCTGTATGCTGAGCAAATAATACGAGAAGCTGGGTTCTATGAAGAAAAACGTGGCATCAGGATTGGAGGAAGACTCATTAACAACCTGCAATATGCAGATGATACAACCTTGATCGCTGAAAGTGAAGAGGACTTGAAACATTTACTTATGAAGATTAAAGAGCACAGCCTTCGATATGGATTACATCTCAATGTCAAGAAAACAAAAATCCTCACCACTGGACCAATAAACAACATTCTTATCAATGGAGAAAAGATTGAAGTTGTCAAGGACTTCATTCTTCTTGGATCAACTATCAACACTCGCGGAAGTAGCAGTCAAGAGATCAGACGATGTATTGCACTGGGCAAATCTGCTGCACAGGAACTTTTTAAAGTATTGAAGAGCAGAGATGTCAGCTTGAGGACTAGGGTGCTCCTGACCCAGGCCATTGTGTTTTCAATAGCCTCATATGGATGCGAAAGCTGGACAGTGAATAAGGAAGATCGTAGAAGAATTGATGCCTTTGAGTTGTGGTGTTGGAGGAGAATACTGAAAGTGCCATGGACTGCCAAAAGAACCAATAGATCTGTTTTGGAAGAAGTGCAGCCAGAGTGCTCCTTGGAGGCCAGGATGGCTAAGCTTCGTCTCTCCTACTTTGGACATATTGTCCAGAGGAAACAATCATTGGAGAAGGATGTCATGCTGGGTAGGGTGGAGGGTCAGAGAAAAAGAGGAAGACCCCCAACGAGATGGATCAGCCAGGTGGCATCATTGATGGACTCAAGTGTGGCAGCGGTAGTGAGGTTGGCCCAGGATCGAACATTGTTTCGTTCTGCTGTGCATGGGGTCACTATGAGTCGGTTCCGACTCGATGGCACCTGACAACAACAACAACAATGCGTTGTCCTTCCCTTCACCTTTCATCCATTGGAGAGGGATTCTACACAGCTAACCCCTTTCTGTTTGTCACCATTCCTGGCTACTCAAACTCCACTTTGGACCATTCCTTGCTAACAGGGACACAAAAATCCTCAATCTCAATCTAACAAATTGTCATTCTGTGATTTATAAGTGGAACAACACTACCAAAGCCATTTCTAACTGGAGAAAATAAAGCCCATAAAATTAAATGCACTCAACATCATGTGTCGATTTGGGGTTGCAATTGTTTTCTTTCCTTTGTCCTTGGACAATTCAGTGACACTGATTACATTCTCGCTCCTTTTTGAGTTGTTCCTTCTCCATCAACATAAACTCACTTCCTTTCTAAGGTCCCTATCTAATCTTTAGAGTTACTTACTGTTAGCAGTTCAATCCCTCTTCCTGGTGTGGCACTCGCTGTAGGACTACCACTGGACTGTGAAACACAACGTCGTGCTTCTCGAAACCGATACAGAGTCTCTATGAGTCAGAACTGGCTGGATGGCCAGTTACTATTGTTAAGAATGATAATTGTTCTTAACAGTGTGCTATTATCTTTAGGGAACAGACCCTGAAGGGTCATTATCTTGGAGAGCAGCTGGATGGGTTTGAACCTTCAACCTTTTAATTAACAACAGGTGGTGATAGTGATGTGCTGTGGAGTGGGTTCCGACTCATAATGACCCTGTACATGGTTTCTGAGGCTGTAAATCTTTACAGGAGC